TTGGAAACGGATTTTGCATCTCCTTGTGGCGGTATCGGGTTTGGTTTGGGCGCTGGTAAATGTCTGTGGTAACAAGAGACAGGCCCTGGTGAGCCTCAGCCCCACCATCTACAGATTGGGGCCTGGTCAACCTCTCCTGGCCTATTTGCTCATCTCCGAGATTAGGGGGTGACTTGGGGGCTTCTATCTGTAAGTCCAAGGGTAAAGCATTAACTTTGGACTCCAGGTGCCCGGAGAGCGGCTTACTTAGAAAGAATCCCCAGCCAGTTTCTATGTAAAAGTGGAGTTCTGGCCGAAACCGGTTTGGCTCAGTGGATAGAGCGTCGGCCTGTGAACTGAAAGGTCCCGGGTTCGATTCCAGTCAAGGGCATGCACCTTGGTTGCGGGCACATCCCCAGTAGGGGGTGTGCAAGAGGCAGCTGATCGATGATTCTCTCTCATCGATGTTTCTGGCTCTCTATCTCTCTCCCTTCCTCTCTGTACAAAATCAATAAAATATATTTTTAAAAATAAAAAGAGTAGGCCTTTCTTCTCCTGGCTGCCGCACCGGTCTGGAAGGACAGCCAGTCTAATTAGCATATTACGCTTTTGTTATAGATGTGAACTCCTTTAACATAAAAGTAAGAATGCATTATTTTGTTGGGGTGGATGAGAGTGAGGTCTTAGAGGCCTGCCAGGCCCCATTCATTCATTCAGGAGCTGCTTTTATCCAGCACATTCCAGGGTCAGGGCAAGGGCTCCTTCCCACCGGGAGGCACAAGTGTGTGAAACAATAGCCTCCTGCCTTTAAGGATCCCAACAGTGAGAAAAAATAACCTCAAAGCAGAACGTTCTGGATTGGACAGCTGCAGAGACAGCTGAGTGTCATGGGATCTGAGTGGGAATCTGGATAGCCCTGAGCTGCCTCTGAATGAATGAAGCCCAAGACCGTCATCAGATCTCTCTTAGAAAGGCAGAAATGTCATATGAGTTAATAAAATAAGATAAAATCGGTTAATAAAATAGTATGTAAGCTTCAACACCTTATTTTAAAACCTTTTTTCCAAGTTCCTCACAAAAAGCTCATTAGCAAACGAAGAAATGCCTTTCACTTCAGTTGATCTCCAGATAACAGCCCTCCGTTTTTATCCCTCCTGGGAGTGCGATTCGGGCTATATTAGGAAGTGGCACATTGAGCAGGAACAGAGACCAGCTTTCTTTTCATCGCTGTGACGTGCCTTCTTCCTCCGCATCACGAATCCCCGACTCTGTGGGGAAGCAGTGAGGTGGCGATTGCAGACTGGCCCGAACAGGATCATCCTGAAATAAAAATAAAATCTTGACTTTCCAGGACCTGATTTCCTCTCATCCTCCCCCCAAGGGGCATTCTAGAGCAGCGTTACCAGCAGAACTCTGTGTTGGCGGGCATGCTGAGTTGAGCACATGCAGCTGTGGCTATGCCACCAGGAAACTGGATTTTTCATTTCATTTCAGTTAATTTAAAGTTTAGCCGCGTCCATGCTGAACAGCACAGTCCTCAGTTCTCAGCTGCAGTGACATAGCGTGTCCCGTGTTCGGAGTGAAGCTGGGTTCTGAGGACCACCTCTGGGTCTTCACTGAGCCCTGGCTGAGTCCCTTAGCACAACGAACTTGTAGTCTGGAGTGTCCTCTTCCAGCATGTCAGCGCCGCAGCGCTGCGGGTCCCCCTGGGGAAGCCCGCAGGGGGGTGGGCTCTGAGGTGCTCACATGGCGGAGTGGCCTGGGAAAGGTCCCCGGAGCGGGCCAGAGCTGTGCCCAGATCGCCCTGTAGCCAAGGCAGCCTGCATCCTGGGCTCAGGCAGCTGGGCAGCTCCCCTGCGGGTGAATGGGCCCAGGGTATGGCCGCTTCACGGATGGCTGGGGCCCTCAGCCACCCCTCGCCCCACTTTTCCTCACAGCCACCCTGGCCCGCTGTCAGCGAACATTGATTTAATCTCTGTCCACTTCTTTCTCTGTCGGGAATGATTGACAGATGCACTGTGTGACGTGTTTGGGGACCTTGTGAACAAACAGGCCGGCGGCTGTTTGCTCGTTCGGAGGGTCAGCAGCCTGAGGGTGAAGGTCTGTTTGGACTCCGTCTGTCTTGGAAGAGTTAACTGGGTGCGCGGGTGACGTCAGTCCTGATCTTTCCGCCGCCTCTTGTGCAATCCGGGGCTCTGTGCTGATTGGCTGCTGGCAGGACTCAGTGGGCGGGCTTTTGTCAATGAAGTCAGAGGGCGGGGCTTGAGCGGCCAATGACAGCCGCGCCGGCTTATCTGGCCGCGCTGCCGGCGGCGGCATTGGCATTCTCCGCTCCGCGCCCAGGCCTGATCCTCCGTGGCAGCTGAGCCCCGGCTCCCGTCAGCATGCTCTGCCTGTGCCTGTATGTGCCGGTCATCGGGGAGGCTCAGGCCGAGTTCCAGTACTTCGAGTCCAAGGGGCTTCCCTCTGAGCTCAAGTCCATCTTCAAGCTCAGTGTCTTTATCCCGTCCCAGGAGTTCTCCACCTTCCGCCAGTGGAAGCAGGTGTGTACGGGGTCAGGGGCCAGGCCAGGCCGGGAGAGGCAGCGGGCATTTCAGCAGTGTGGGCTGAACGAGAGGAGGAGGGCTGGCAGTGGTGACACCCGTGAAATGGGCGAGTTTCCCCCCCGGTTGTCCCGCGGGGACAGCCAGGCTACTTCACAGGAATGACTGGCTCTCACGTGACTTCCGTGGAAGGCTTGACTTCCCGGGAAGGCGCTGCGGGGGGAATGCCAAGGAATTTTCTTGCTGAGACGTGGAAGGGGGCCTCTGAGAAGGGAGGTACAGGCCAGCCGCTGCGGGGCGGTTTCTCTGAGCTGGAGGGAAGGCCAGGAGGACAGGAGGGAGAGGCAGAGGCTCCTCAGTGCAGACCCGGGCTGGAGCTGCAGGCTGTGAGGGGAGGGAAGCCTGCCAGATGTCCCTTCGGAGCAGGAGGCAGCAGAAACCATTACCGTTTTATAGAGGGAGCAGCTCTCCCCGTGGAGATTGCTTGCTTCCTAAAGAGGTACCCCACTTCCCTGTTAATCCTGTCCCACGCTGTCCCCCGGCGCTCACGATGGCAGAGGTCGGATGGTGTGCAGCGGGTGGGGAAGGAGGCAGAGAGTAGGCCCGGAGGTTCTGAGGTGGGAGATGATTTTGAAATCAGCTGTGCTGGGCACACCTGTCTCGCAGGGCACCCACCCCCATAAGGCACATGGTTTGCGGTGGTGGCAGAGCAGCCAGATACCAGAGAGCTTCACGCCTCCCATTCACCTCCCTAAATGGCATGTAGGTTATGTAGATTCTATTTCCGCTCTGGCCATAAATCTACAGTGACAGTCCTATACGTAATTCTTGGCCGAGAGCACAGAAGTCTACAGGAAGTTAGCATAACTTCAGATCGGAGATTAAATACCAGCATTGGTTTCACATTTCAGCCACACCCGCTGCGCTGTTCTTGGGATCTTGTTAGGTGACCTGGGATCTGCCCAGGCCTCCTCCTAGCACCCTTGGTGGCTGAGCAATCACAGAGAGCTGTCAGGTGATTTCAGAGACGGATTGTAATCCTTGGAGAGTGCCAGCTAGCCAGTGATCTGTCAGCTTCCAAACCCACGGGTCAGAAGACTTGGGAACCCATATTGGTTTGTGGATAGTGAAGACAAGCATGTCAAACTCAAAGGCTAACACGGGCCAATTAAGCGAGGCATGCGGCCTATGGGTCGAGAGTTTGACATGCTTGCACTGAGAGCATTGGGCAATACAGGAAGATGTAACCATTTTCCCTGGGAGATTTTTGTTCCTAGTTTGGGGTGTTGCTGGGTTGGAGTGACTCACATGTGCTCCACCTTCTTGAGATTAACCTCCAGGGTGGCAGCAGGATCTCTAGGGAGGTGGCGTTGGAGTCCAACCAACCTGACTTGAATGCTGCCCACCACTTCCCTGGCTGTGTGACCTAGGATAAATGACTTACCCTCTCTGAGCTTCTTTCCTTCTCTGTAAAATGGAGCCAATGATAGTATCTCCTTCCTAGAGCTGTGTGTGAGGATCCAGCAGGTTACTAGAGGTCATGCTTTTAGCAGGACCCCTGGCTTAGAACCTCAGAGTATCTTCAAGCCTCTAGGGTCACGAAGCTAAGTAGCGCTCTTGTTCTGTACCTGGTTGAGGGAGCTGGGCTTGGTTATGTCATCAGTTTCCCCTGAGATCAGACACTGGCCGAGGCATCAAGCAGATCCCCAAAATAGCTCCCTGGGGCTCTGCTGCTTCTCCAGCCTCCAGAATTCTCTTGGCTGTATTTGTGTCAAGTAGGTATTGGCAGGGGCCAGCTCTGCCTCTTACCTTCACCCTGGCCCCTCACTTGTTCCTGGGCCACATGCCACTGTGAGGATAAAAAGAGCAAGCTGCGACTGAAGCCGGTTTGGCTCAGTGGTAGAGCGTCGGTCTGTGGCCTGAAAGGTCCCGGGTTCGATTCCGATCAAGGGCATGTTCATTGGTTGCGGGCACATCCCGGGTGGAGGGTGTGCAGGAGGCAGCTGGTCAATGTTTCTCTCTCATCGATGTTTCTAGCTCTCTATCCCTCTCCCTTCCTCTCGGTAAAAAATCAATAAAATATATTATAAAAAAAAAAAAAGCAAGCTGCGGAGTTCTGGTGCCATCTGGAGCTCCAGGGATACCCACACAGTTGGGCACAGAGCATGTGGCTGAGGCCTGGAGCCAGGGGACGCGCTGCAGGGAGCCAAGCAGCTGACCTGGCGGTACAGCAAGTTGGTCTTTAAGACACTTGGAATGAGAACTCACCAAGCCTGCCGCTGCCGGCCTCTGCCTGATGGCTCCTCATGGTGTGTGTGTGTGTGGGGGGGGTACTTTTTCTCGTTGCAAGGTGGATTCTTGGGTCCTGGGAAGCTCTTGGGTTAGTTCATGGGTTAGCGCAGTTGTTTCCTCGTGACGGCGTCACGAGGGACAAGTCGGTGCATGAGCTAAAGGACAAACCTTACTTTTGTTTCCTAGAAAATTGTGCAAGCTGGCGACAAAGACCTTGATGGGCAGCTAGACTTTGAAGAGTTCGTCCATTATCTCCAAGATCACGAGAAGAAACTGAGGCTGGTGTTCAAGAGTCTGGACAAAAAGAATGATGGTGAGTGCTGCCTCCGGAGCCGGTGGCCGGCCGCCCTGGGCTCTCCATGGGCCGGGCCCCCGCTCACGGCCTCTGTTGTTGCAGGGCGGATCGACTCTCAGGAGATCGTGCAGTCCCTGCGGGACCTGGGGGTCAAGATATCCGAGCAGCAGGCAGAGAAAATCCTCAAGAGGTGAGTGCCTGGCCGGTCTCTGTCCTTGGCCCATTCACACTCAGCATGACGAAGGCACGCTCCGGGCTGACTCTGGCGGCACTCACTGCTGACGCTGTCCTCTGAACTTTGGCTTCTGGGAGTGTGAAGGGGTGAATGAGTAACCAGCTTGCAGGTCCGCTCTCGCTTGAAGAATCCCTAATCACCTCGAAGTAAGCTTGTTCAGTGACCCCGAAGAAAAAGACTAGTGGGGGGAGGGGGTCCAGTAGGTGAAAGGCGAGCAGGGAGTACCCCTCTCTGCCTGGTGGGGAGGGGAGGGGCTCACGTGGCAGCCCTCCCTCCACTTAAGGTAGGCTAGACGCCATCGGCACATCTGAAAGATGGGGGGAAGGTGAGCCGAGGTCCTGGGGGATCAGAGCTGCTGCGGGCTGGGAAGCCGCACAGAAGTGCCCTAGGAGGCTTCCCCTCCGGGCTGGGCCTCCCCCTCCCTGCACCCGCCCCCCGGCTGCTGTGCTGTGTGTCTGCCTCGGTGACATCTGCTCAGAGCACTTACTGTCTTGTTTCTCCTCTCTCCTCTGCGTCCTCCTTTGTCTGTCTGTCAGAATTCGAACGGGCCATTTCTGGGGCCCTGTCACCTAGTAAGTATCTGTATCTCCCTCTAAGCCTCTGTGCCCGATCTCTGGGGTTCTTGTGGGTCGTTGTAGCCCGTTTCTGTGCCACGGGAAGTGTGGGGGCACCTTGCCTCTCCTCCTCCGGGCAGAGGCGCCCTCCGTGGTGTCCTCGGTGGCCAGGCGCCGGCCTGTGGCTCGCCTGGAAGAGGGAAGTGCGGCTGACAGCGGGGCCTGTGTTGACACTGAGTAACCGTGCGCTCCTCCTGCAGCATGGACAAGAACGGCACGATGACCATCGACTGGAACGAGTGGAGAGACTACCACCTCCTGCACCCCGTGGAGAACATCCCCGAGATCATCCTGTACTGGAAGCATTCCACGGTGAGCCCTGCCCGCAGCCTGGAGGCCGATTCTCCCGTCTGTCCCCGGGTTCCCTGTGCCCGGCCTCGGTCCCCATCCGGGGGGGGGGGATGGGGGTGGGAGTCTCGCCCGCCTCCCCTTCAGCAGCGTGACTGTCCACTCCTCTGCCAGCCCCCCAGAGCCCCCACTGGCCTCCTCTGTTTCCCACACGCCTGCCACCTGGATGGCCTGGCCATTCCCCAGCACAGGGTTCCTTTGCCAGCAGTGCCCGCCTGTCCCACTTCAGACACCTCCCCTGATGGTACTGCTCTCCCACAGCCAGTGGGAGCCTTCTGGGCAGGCTCTCTGCAGAGACAAAAGGCACAGCAGTTGGTTTCTCCCCCCACGGCCCCATTTTGTGGGCTGTTTCTGGACAAAAGAATGCGTTCCCACCATCGCACATTGCTCTTCCATCTCATCAGAGCATACAGACCCGCACCCGCACTGGTAGTGGCCACACTGACTCCCTGCCCTCGGGCCTTCATGGGGCATGCGCCCTCTCTGCTGGTCCCTGCTGAGCACCCCCTCGATGTTAGTGCGATTCACCCAGCTCCTCCTGGTCAGTCTCCTGGGTGCCAGGCCAGGCCTCACCTGGGGCACCTGGCATCTTTGTCGGGTGAAGTTATGTGGACTGCTGATCTGTGGTCTGGCCTGCAGCCCAGGTCTAAGGGGAGCTGGCTCTGTCTGGCCAGCCAGGATGCCACCCAGAAGAGAGGGTGACACGCAGGCACTGCACCCCCCGTGTTTGCTGAGGCCTTACATAATGTTCTGCCAGCGCGATCTGATGACGCATCAGGTTGCAGGAGGATTTTCACCCCTGGCTTATGTGGGCAGCACAGCCAGCCTGGCGACCCTCGCTCAAATGCCTGTGTGAGCGCTTCTGTGGAGCTCCCTGGCGGCCGCTGAGAGGCTGCCTGCGGGTTTGTAGCTGCTTCCCTCCAGCGGGCTCTCACTTTGCCCACCTGGGCCTCCCGAAGGCCACGTTCAGGGACAGAGCTTTGCCACCTTCACATGGAGGCGGAGGGGACAGGCTGCATCAGCTTCCTACCCAGAGTCCTTGGCAATCTCCCCGCCTGGTGGCCCCTTCCGCACAATGGAGGTTATGGACCTGCCGGCCAGCGGCAGCTTGGCCACAGCGTCAGGCCTGCTTGTTGACCTTCGTTGGTCTTCCCTGCAGATCTTCGATGTGGGGGAGAATCTGACCGTTCCCGACGAGTTCACGGTGGAGGAGAGGCAGACGGGGATGTGGTGGCGACACCTCGTGGCCGGAGGCGGGGCCGGAGCCGTATCCAGAACCTGCACGGCCCCCCTGGACAGACTCAAAGTGCTCATGCAGGTACGCAGGCAGATGGGCCCCGGACCTCTGGTGGCCGCCGCTGGGCTGCTCTGGTGGGTTGGTCCTCCCTCCTCTCCCTGGTCTGGGGCCCTGCTTTGCATCCATATTTTTTCTGTCCCAATAAATTAGATTGGAATTCTTGCTCAGACAAGGGCAACATTAGATCCAGGCCTGGGCAGTGCACGTAGCGGATCTAATTTTATCTGAGGCCCTTAGCCAGGTCACATTACAGGGCCATAATGTGCACGGTAAAGCTGGTGAGGATGGGGTGTGGCAGGAGCCTGTTTGCAGCGCTTATGGATAGGTGTCACATGAGGACAGTGTGAGCAGGTGGTCACCTGGCCCAGCCGCCATCGTCATGACCAGAGCCCTGACTCCATGCCCAGGGGACGGAGATAAGCTAGACCAGCGTCAGGGGCAGGGTTCCACCCGCTCACAGGCACTCGCTGTTGGACTTTAGCGTCTTCGGAGCAGCGGCCAGTTGCTTCCTGTCCCTTGTTTGTTCTGGCACCTGCCTGCTCAGAACAGACGTCATCCTCTCCCTCCCCCTTAGCCCTCCCGGGCCTGCCTGCGTGAATGAATCCTGTGACCCCTCCTCCTTGTGCTGAAACAGGGAAGTGGAGTGGTTCCGGGAGAAGAGCTCCAGGCCTGGATCTGACCCCGTCTGGGCCTAGAGCTGTGTGCCCTCGGGCGAGCCCCTTGGCCAGGACTGCATTGCTCTGAGCCCAAGGGCCTGGGACACACTGCCTTCCCAGGCAGAATCCTCCAGAACCCCGGGGGCGCTGTAGACATGGGAAGCATTTCACTCGGGTGCCCGAGAGCAGCCCAGTGGGGCAGTGTGGGGAACGTGGTTGTGCTTCCATGCGTGTGGAAGCTGGTCACGGTTCATGAGCTCATTGTATAATTCTCTGTACTGTTGTACATTTTTGAAATTGTTCCATAATAACAAGCTCAAGCTCGATCCTTTTTTTTTTTCTTACCTAAGGATGTTTTTATTGTTCTTAGAGAGAGTAGAAGAGTGAGAGGCGGAAGAGAACATCGATGTGAGAAACATCAATGGGTTGCCTTTCCTATGCTGCCCAACCAGGGATTGAACCTGCACCCTTTTGGTGCCCGAGTTTTTTAAATGTTAAAAAGTGGTCCTTGGGGGTGTTGAGCTCAGTGCGGCACTCAGTAGGTGCGTGGGACATCCAGCTGGGCCTCGAATGGCTGCGTTTGAGCCTCGCAGTGCCCAGCCGGTCTTCAGCACCGAGGGGAAGAGCCCTCGTGCCCACCATGACGCTGGCGCGGAGGAAAGGCTGAGTCCTCTGACCCGCCCTTCCTCCTCAGGTCCACGCCTCCCGCACCAACAACATGTGCATCGTGGGCGGCTTCACCCAGATGATCCGAGAGGGAGGGGCCCGGTCACTCTGGCGGGGCAACGGCATCAACGTCATCAAAATCGCCCCCGAATCGGCCATCAAGTTCATGGCCTATGAGCAGGTGAGGACCCGGCCCCCCAGAGAGCGTGTCCATTGGCGAGGGACGGCGGGGCGGGGCGGGGCGGGGCGGCAGGAGAGGCCTGGGTCTGACCGTGTCTCGGCTAAGCCTGACTGGCCCCGGGAGGAGGGGGCGGGAGGAGGCGCTGGTCTCGGGGTATCAGCTCGTTTGCTCCCTGTTGTAGATCAAGCGTCTCGTTGGGAGTGACCAGGAGGCTCTCAGGATCCACGAGCGGCTTGTGGCCGGGTCCTTGGCAGGCGCCATCGCTCAGAGCAGCATCTACCCGATGGAGGTGAGGGCCCTGGTCCGGGGCGGACAGGTGCAGTGGGGCGGGCGGTGGGGATGAGGCTGAGGGGCGGGCTGTGCTCATGCTTCCGTCGCTTCTGTTGGTTCTGCAGGTTCTGAAGACCCGGATGGCCCTGCGCACGACGGGCCAGTACTCGGGCATGCTGGACTGCGCCAGGAAGATCCTGGCCAGAGAGGGCATGGCCGCCTTCTACAAAGGCTACGTCCCCAACATGCTGGGCATCATCCCCTACGCGGGCATAGACCTGGCTGTCTACGAGGTGAGGCGCAGGAAAGATCCAGAAACCCCCTCCTCACCCGTCCCCGCCTGTCGTCTCCGGGCCTGACAGCCGCTGGGGGGGGTGGGACAGGAACAGCACAAAGTGTCTCGTCCACCAGCCTCACTGCGAGGTCCCCTGGCAGCCTGGGCTCCGCCGTAGCTTGCAGGCAGGTCCCAGGGCCCCAGCTCTCCAGGCGACAGAAGCCGCTTCTCTGGGCGAGGCAGTGCTGCCTCTGCCTCATCCCCACTCCGTCTGACCCAGGATCTGCAGGGACCGCGGAAGCCAGGGCAGGCGGGCCAGGCGCTCAGCCAGCCCAGGCCAAGCGAACCGGGGGACTGGCCTCCCAGACGCATGTGATGGGATCCAATAACGTGTCACCCTCCCCCCTCCCTCTGGCTGGGGCTCGCTGGCTCTTCGGCTCACCCCCGCGCCCTTCCCCTTGCAGACCCTCAAGAACGCCTGGCTGCAGCGCTACGCAGTGAACAGCGCAGACCCGGGGGTGTTTGTGCTCCTGGCCTGTGGCACCATGTCCAGCACCTGTGGCCAGCTGGCCAGCTACCCGCTGGCCCTGGTCAGGACCCGGATGCAGGCCCAAGGTAAGGCTGGTCCGAGGCCGGTCCCCGGGCATCCATCCCCCGGGCAGGCTGGGATCCAGGGAGGAGCCGTGAAAGGCCTCTGACGGACGACCTCTCACCCCTGCAGCCTCCATCGAGGGCGCCCCCCAGGTGACCATGAGCAGCCTCTTCAAGCAGATCCTGCAGACCGAGGGCGCCTTCGGCCTGTACCGGGGGCTGGCCCCCAACTTCATGAAGGTGATCCCGGCCGTGAGCATCAGCTACGTGGTGTACGAGAACCTGAAGATCACACTGGGCGTGCAGTCGCGGTGACGGGAGGGCAGCCCGCCGCGGACTCTGATCCTGGGCTCGGCCCGGGATGTGCAGCATCTCATTCTGTGAATGTGCCGACACTACGCTGACGGAAGCCAAGCTGTGAACCCTGGGGTGCAGCGCAGGGACGGGGGATGGGGAGCTGGCAAGCCCACCAGGTCTGTCCTGCTAACCAGCAGGACCCGGGCTGATGCGCAGGAGAGACTGGACTTTCCTGTAGTGTCTGCCAGACAGCAGGGCTTGGAGGCGGCTTAGTTCTTCCATCTCTTCCTGCCAGACCATGGCCCCGGGCCCCTGCCCTCTGCCTGCTGGGCATCTGCCCTGTGCCCACTTTGCTGCCGCCTCACTGCTGTTTGAATATGGTAGGAGGGCCACCAGCCCACTCCCATGCCCGCCTGCTCCTCCCCTCAGGCCGCAGGGAAAGGTGCTTCCAGCCGACCTCACCCTCGACTTCCCAGCGTGCAGCATGGCCCTGGCGAGGTTGTGCAGGGAAAGGGGAGCCTGGGAGTGCCCACCCTCATCTGCGCTCACCGCAGAGGGGCACCGATGCATGCAGGCCAGGCCCAGCCCGGCCACTGGCTGCCTGGCACCCGGGCGCATGGCTTGCCCGGAGCCCAGAGGCCTCTGCCCTGTGCTGCTGGGGCCTCCTGTGCCTGAGCTGGCTCCAGGCTCCGTCGGGACTGGCACCAGCTCAGATCCAGCTCCCTGGCCCTGCTCTGGCATGAGGCAGGGGTGTGGTGTAACGGGAAGGCCAGTTTCTGCCCCGGGTCTGCATGCCCTGAGAAGGAAGGGTTGGGGCCTTCATTAGGTGTTTTTGAGAAAAGGGTTTTGTCCAGAAGGACAAATGGACAATGTGAAGTCCTGAGCTTCCAGAGGGAAGACAGCGCGAGCGGAGAGCTTGGCTGACTGCATTAACGTCTGTTCCTGACGCCCCCGGGTCACGTCCGATCCCAGCGGGGCCAGGCGGGACCAGCCTCACATTCCACTGATGCCACGTGTCACTGCTTGGAGCCTATTTATTTCGTATTTATTTGAACAGAGTTATGTCCTAACTATTTTTATAGATTTGTTTAATTAATAACCTGTCATTTTCAAGTTCATTTTTTATTCATATTTATGTTCATGGTTGATTGTACCTTCCCACACCCAAGAGGTGGGGAGAGGAGAGACAGTGGGAGTGGCCTTCCTGCCGCTGCCCACATGGGGTCACATCTGTCCGAGGAGCAGCGGGGGCCCTGGCCCAGAGGAGTGTCCTTGGCAGGTGGGGGCGGCGCCTCGGGACCTGAGGGTTCGCAGGGGGGTGGGAAGAGCGGGAGAAACCTCGGTTCCTCTGAAGATGGAAATCCGATCCCTTTTTCCGCACCAGAAGGGTCTGTTTCACCCTTCCTGAGTGACAAGGCAGCGGTGCCTATCACTGTGAGTCTGGGGCGGGGCTAGAGGAGGGGATGGCCAGCGCCCACCCGCCTGTGAAGTGGGCTTCTCCCCGCAGCCCGCCCCCGCCCCCGCCGCTTCCACTCAGTAGTGCTGGTCAACTGCAGCCTCAAGTTGCACTTTTCATTCTGCCAGAATGGCCCGACGGACAGTAGATGGGGTGCAAAGATCAATGCAAAAATTATTGTCATGTGTAAACATAGTTCTAACTGGAATTTGTGAAAAAGCAAATTAAGAATTGGGAGTTGTCATTAAAACAGCCTAATAAAATTGTTTGAAAGCCCATGACCGAGCATGGTTTTTCTGATCTGGGTTTGGGTGGTGTGGGGGTGTTCCATGTTAGAAAAGAGCCCAATTTTTTCATCATTGAAAAAAAAAAAAAAGCGGAAACCGGTTTGGCTCAGTGGATAGAGTGTCGGCCTGCGGACTGGATTCCCGTCAAGGGCACATACCTGAGTTGCAGTAGGGGGTGTGCAGGAGGCAGCTGATCGATAATTCTCTTTCATTGATGTTTCTAGCTCCCTATCCCTCTCTTCCTCTCTGTAAAAAATCAATAAAATATATATTTTTAAAAACAAATTAAAAAAAATAAAGTCCACTCCCCCCGCCCAGCATAAAATTGATGCTCCTCCTCTACAATGGGTGCTCATTGGATTTAGGGTGCTCTGAGGTCCACTGGCGGTCCCTCTCTGTAAAGCAGCACCGGCCACCACTGCCCCCCTCACTGGCTGCCCCTCCCCAACCCCCCAGATGGTTCCTGCCCTCCTCCGGCTTGGAGATGTGGGAGGGCCCCCCCTCCCCGCTTTATTTGCTCTCTGCCTGTCACCCCAGGAGAGGATGAGGCCGCAGGGGGCAGGGTCGTATTTGCAGCCCTCAGAGCAGCCCGATGCACAAAGTACTCAATAAAGTGTTCGTTAAGTAACGGTCCACGCCCTGATCCCAGCATTCCTGGGGCCGTGGGTCGGGGTCGGTGGCAAGAGGCTGTGGGAGGCACAGAAGTGTGCCAGGGTGAACTGGCACACAGCCTTCACATGGGGTTGAATAGTGTGCCCTGCCCTCCTTGATTTAGCATCTGTTTCCCAATTGGTGTCCACTGGGAACCTCGGAATGTTGCTTTATTTGGAAGTACGGTTTTGCAAATGTATCCCGGGTAAGATGAGGTCATACCTTACTAGGTGGGCCCTAAACCAATGATGGTGTCCAGAGAGGGAAATTCACAGACACAGGGAGACAGAACACCACGTGACCACAGAGGCAGAGGGCGGAGGTGACCCCGGCCTGCCAACACCCCCATTTCAGACTGCAGCCCGGACTGTGAGGAGGGCTTCCTGTTTTGGCCCCGGCGTTGTGGTGAGCTGTGAGGCCCAGGAGACTGACAGCCATTGGCCTCAGCTGCTGTCAGGGTCACAGACATAAGTCATTTGGCTAATTGGTGCCCCACCCCTCCAACCTGCCTCCTCCGTTCTCAAGCTCAGAGCTAACCTGAGCAGGTGCTCTGATACGGCCAAAGCTCTGAACACCGCCTCGCCTGCCTTCCTCCAGGCGTCTCCCTCATCCCTCCTTCGCTCCAGTCTCTCCTCACCTTCTCACCAAGCCTTCCCTCAGCCCCGTTTACAATGGTCACCTCTTGGTGCTCGCTTCCCTTCGGCAGCACCGAAACTAAAGATTAAAGATACAGAGAAGGTTAGCATGGCCCCTGCACAAGGATGACGCAAATTCATGAAGCATTTCGTATTTTTAAAAAAATAAAAAACAATAATAAAATAAACTTTTGGCCCTGCCGGTGTGGCTCAGTGGTTGAGCCTATGAAGCAGGAGGTCATGGTTCGCATTCCTGGGTTTCGGGCTGCGTCCCCAGTAGGAGGTGTGCAGAAGGCTGCCGATCAATGCTTCTCTCCCTTTCCCTTCCTCTCTAAAAAAGAAATAATAAAAGAACGAACAAAAATAATACTCAAAAGCAATGTTTCAAATGGTAACCTGTCCCCTCCCCTCAACCCAGCTCCATGTCCTTCTAGCTTCTCCCTCGCTGTCCACCAGCAACGCCGCCGCTGCTGGCTCACTCCCTGGCTTAGCTCCTTCCTCGGTGGGAGCGGGTGTTGGCTTTGCTGTCCCGCAGGGGCTGGGCACCTAAGGGTGCTGAACGAGCAGGTAGTGACTGGCTGACGGAAACCCACCCAGGGGTGTGTGGCGGGCAGACTCACGCCCCCTCCCAGGGCGTCCCAGGAAATCGGGACACGGCCACGGGGTCAGGGCTGCTCATCAGCTGACCTTACGCCAGGGGGTGAGGCTGGGTGGCCCAGTGGCCCGCGGGGGCGGGAGAGGCAGGGGTGATGCCGGGACTCTGTCCGCTGCTGGCTCTGAAGAGGGAGGCGGGGCCCCAGGTCAGGGGGGCAGGCGCCTCTCGGGGCTGGAAAAGGCCAGGACCAGGAACACTGCTGCCCGCTGGCACCTGGAGCCGAGCCGGGAGCCTGGGCGGGTCTGACCTCCGGCCCCGCCTGCTGGAGAGTTGGAGACTGAGTGGAAAAGTCTGGTCCTAATGAGCAGTTCCATCCCCTCTCCCTCCCATCCCGGATTCCAGACGCAAGCAGTCATTTCCACCGAAATGCCTTGCATTCCAGATCTCTGGCATACCGAAGGCAGGCCAGCCTTCCGTGGGGCGGCTGGGGGTGGGGGAGCCACGTCAGCCTCCTTCCGAAGCCAGAGGTGAAAGGTCCCCTCCGATTCCTGGGAATGACACTTGCTGAGCACCAGCTGGGTTAGCCCTGGGCAGTTCTAGGATAAGGATTTTTTAAAAATCGGGACTGTCCCGCCCAGAGCAGGACGTCTGGCCCCCTTATTCTAGGAGGTAATTCCGCCTAGAAATTCCACGTGCAGGGGGCTGCACAGGGGCTGGGACGGCGCCATGATCCACCTCTGGGGACCTCTCCTGAGGGCCCTGGCCCCTGGCTGCTCTCCCGGGCCGGGGGCTGCAGAGAAGCGGGGCAGCCTGCACCGAGGCCCTGCGACCGCCGGGCCAGCCGGGCCGTGGACCTGGGGCAGGCCTCACGCGCTCTGAGCCTCCGTCTCCTCAGGAGCCAGAGGGAAGGACTCCTCGGGGGGTTCACGCCGGGTAAACGCTGAGCTGAGTCAAACCGGCTCTGCTGACTCCGAGGCCTGTTCTCACCCTCCGCACCGGCCGACGGGCTGGAATGTAGGGGAAGGGTGAGGCCCCGCAGCCGGAGCTGGCCCGGCGGCCGGCGTGGACCTTGCCCCCTGGCCTCCGGGGCGGACGAGGAAGCTGGAGCAGAGCAGTGAGGCCCAGGCACAGCGCTCAGAGGCGGGCAGGGCTGGATGGGGAGGGCCAGCAGAAGAGTGGGGGGGGGGAGATGCAGTAGGGCAGGGAGGAACGGAGAATGGGGAAACTGAGGCGAGCGAGAGCCAGAGGCCTGCCCCAGGCCCCAAGAGAGCAAGATGGCCCAGGCCTCCTGCTCTTGGCTCTCCGCCTGGCAGTGGCCACAGAGGCACAGCCACTTTGGCCATTTGCTGTCCCCACAGCGCAGCCCCTATGGCCGGGAGGGAGCTGATCTCCCACTGCAGCTGTGGGGCTGAGGAGAGGGGGCGCTGGCCTCCCAACACCTGCCAAAGGGCCCCCCTCACCTTACGGAGGCCCCTGACCCGGGCGGGGACCTGCCCGTCCATCAGGGGCCAGGGTGCTGTAGCGTCTCTCTGCCCTGGCACCGGTGGTATCGGTAACCAACGGTAACCGATGGCTGCCGCAATCACCACAAACGAAGACTCTTAAAACGCACAGATGCGCCCTCTTACGGAGCTGGAGGCCAGCTGTCCATCATCAGTGTCCCCGGCCGAAAGCCAGGCGTCTGGCGGTTCCTGCTGGAGCCTCGCTTCTCACCAAGGGGAACCCCGTTCCTGCCTCTCCGGTTCTGGGGGGCCCGGTGCCCCTTCTCCCAGGACCCCGCCTCTCGCTCCCGCAGCCACGGCTCCCCCTTCTGAGGACGCCTGTGGGTGCCTGTGAGGATCTTGCAATCAGGAAGTTCTCTCCACCTCCGAGTCGTGAATTTAACTCCATCTACAAACTCCCTTTTGCCACATGAGTAAGGTGACCAGACATCCTGATTTTTAACCATTTGTCCCTCGGCGTTTTAAAGAAGTCCCGATTTTGGGGACAAAAATCGGGACTTTTTTAAAACACCGCAGGATGCGGGACAAGTGGTTAAAAATCGGACGTCTGGTCACCTTACACATGAGGTAACTGCACAGGCTCCAGGGGTAGGCCCTGGATGTGTTGGGGGACATTATTCAGGCCACAACTCCTGCTCCCTTCCAGACCCTTCTGCCCCACTAAACCCTTCCCGCCCGGCTGGTCAAATTAACCAGGAACAGTCAGCAATGGAACACCGGGTGATGGAATTCCACACCGTCATCAAGAATCGTGAGGGAGAACAGCGGCCAAGCTGAAATAGGTTAACCGTTGAGGAGTTACCGTGTGAGCTGAATTTTTATTTAAAATAAAGAAAAACTGCCTGGCTGGTGTGGCTCAGGGGTTGAGCATCAACCCAAGAACCAGGAGGTCATAGTTCAATTCCCAGGCAGGGCACATGCCCCGATTGTGGGCTGGACAGGTGCAGGAGGCAGCCAGCGATGATTCTCTCTCATCACTGATGCTTTTCTCTCTCTCCCCCTTTCTGAAATCAATAAAAATATATCGTAAGAAAGAAAAGAGACTTCTCTGTGACACCGGGAGGAAGGTGTCTCTGGAGCCAGGTCCGGTTCCCGTCCTCCCTCTGCCACTTGCTAGCTGTGTGATTCCAGGGAATTCCCTGAGCCTTTCTGATGCCTCAGTCTCCCCACCTGTAAGATATCTGTGCCTGCTGCACAGGATGGTGTAAGAATTAAGTGAGGTAATATGTGTGAAGAGCTTCAAACAGTGCTTGCCACCAAATTTAACTGTTAGATATGTAAGTATATATCACATATAAAATAGTAAATATGGCACTAGCTGGTCTGACACGGTGGTTAAAGCATCAACACAAGGACTGACGGGTCTCCGGTTCGATTCCGGTCAAGGGTGTGTACCTTGGTTGTGGGCTCCATCCCAGTCCGGGTCAGGGTGCCCTGGTCACGTGCATGAGGGAGGCAACCGATTGATATGTCTCTCTCACATCGATGTCTCTCTCTCTCTGTCTCTGCCCCTTCCTTCCGCCCTCTCTAAAAATCAATGGAAAAATATCCTCAGGTGAGGATTAACAGCAACAAAAATGACGTGAATATAAATACATATGTGCACTTATATTTATGTAGGCTGCGTAAAACTTAAGCCAGAAGGCTGTACTCCAAAAAAACTGTAAGTGGTTATATCTCTGGGTGGTGGGATGGTCATAGTGGGCACATCTTCTTACGTCTCTGCCAGTTCTATTTATGTCCAGTAAACATTAGTTATTTGCAATAATCAAGATGAAATTTAAAAACCTAACAGTCTAACAAACAAACAAAAGCAAGCTGGAACCCTCCCGGGCCCTAAGCCCGGCGGTGGCTGGGCCTCCCGAGGGAACCCTCTGGCCCCGGAGGCGAGCTCTCGTGTTCTCAGGACTCCCTCCCGTTTCACTTCCTGCAGCTCTCGGCCGTGAGCGCTGGGAACCTGGCTGGGAACAGACAGCAGACCCACTGGCTGCGTAAAAACGCCCCTCACATCTGACTCCTGGGTGTGTTGACTCTGGTGGTGCCAACCCCGTGGAGGGTAACTGACCTCCTCGGGCTTGTAGGAGGATGAGCGAGGACGAGGCTTGCCCAAGGTCACAGGGAGCAGTGGCAGGCTTCTGCTGCCATCAAAGCCACAGGGAACTTGAACATGACCAAGATGGGGCAGGCTTTACTGGCTGGAGGCCCTTAACCTTGGGAGCTGTGGCTCTTTCTACTTGCCCATCTTCAGACCCTTGGGTGCTAAACCCATTTTACAGATGGACAAATAAGAGTCCCTAAATAGGGGAGATCATACGTCAACCGAAGGACTTATATACATGCATATAAGTACAACCAATGGACACAAAACTCTGGGGAGGGAGGGTATGTATGGGAGGGGGTAGGCAATGGTATATGTACAAAGATAATAATTTAGCCGAAACCGGTTTGGCTCAATGGATAGAGCGTTGGCTTGGGGACTGAAGGGTCCTGGGTTCGATTCCGGTCAAGGGCATGTACCTTGGTTGTGGGCATATCCCTAGTAGGGGGTGTGCAAGAGGCAGCTGATTGATGACTCTCTCTCATTGATGTTTCTAACTCTCTATTTCTCTCCCTTCCTCTCTGTACAAAATCAATAAAATATATATAAAAAGATAATTTAATAAAAAATTAAAATAAATAAACTGCTAAAAAATAAAATACTTCAAGTAAAAAAAATTAACTTAGAATAAACTGATGAATAAAAGAGTCCCTAAATAATAAAAATGCTCCGTGAAGGTGCAATGCAAGAGTTGACCTCAAGATGGCAGCACCAGACCTTGTTTTAGCTTCCTACTGGACTTCGCAGCCTCTACCGCCCTCTGGTGGTTATGGGAAAACATGTCCAGGGCGCCAGGCCTAGGAACACAAGGAAACTGAGGCAGAGTTGTGGCGGGTGGAGGGCAGGACACTTGGTGAAAGAAGCTCAGCTGAGTTGGCGCCACGTGGTGGCCTTGGGTTGACTAGCCAGTCTCCAGCCCCAGGCACAGAGAGGGGGGCTAGCCAGCAGTCCTGAGACTTCACCAAGGTGACCATTCAGGCCTGTCCCCGGTGCCTGCGGCAGCCCCAGGGAAAAAGCTCTCGTCAGGAGGCAGGCCCCGGTCCCTGCAGGGCTTAGCCAGAACCTCCCTGTGAGATGGTGAGCCGGCAGAGCATCTGTGATACACGGAAACGGGGCAAGGGGAGGAGACTGGGAGCAGGGACCCAGCCTGCCCGCCCCCACCCCCGGGCCTCCTTGGTGGGACTGGGCCTCCAGGGGCAGCCACCGCTGGGAGACATAGTTGCTGGGCAGAGCAGGAGCAGACGGGCTGGGAGCACAGGTGGGTTGTGCAGTGACCCTTCCCTGGCCACGCTGTCATGGACAAGAGGAGGACATCTTGCCCATTTAACAGATGAGGAAACTGAGGCGCAGAGAGGGGCACCACCACCCAGAGTCCCAGCCAGTCTCTCAGAGACCACGCGCTGGGCCATCTCCGAGCCTCCCCCTGGTGTCCGAAGCCACTAAGCCCCTCACCCCAGGCCTGACGCTTAGTAACACTGGACAGACGGGGCTGGGCCCAGCCTCACGGCGAATCTTTTTCTTTATTTCAAACAGACCGAGGGTGGGGGGTGGGTTGGAGGGTGAGGAGGGGAGCGGGATGCTCAGGATGAGCCAGGGATGGGCTCATCCCAGCCGGGATGTCCCACTTCCCTTGCCCAGGGCGGGGCCCAGCCCGTTCCCACCCACAGGGTCAGGGGGGCAGCCCTGTGCCCCTCGGGGCTGCGTCCCCAGGGCCCAGGCCCGGTGCCCGGCGTCAGGCACAGAGCGCCGTGGGTGGGGGAGGTAGCGTGGCCGGCACCCTACACAGGCGCCGGCTCCGGCTCCGGCTCCGGCTCCGGCCCCGCGCGGCAGCAGCGTCTGCGCGGTCCCGGTTCCGCCCGGCTCCTCCCGGCTCCTCCCGGGCCCTCACTGGAGCGCCTCGTCGGCGATGGCCTTCTCCACCCGCTGGTACCAGGGCCGGATGCGGGTGTGCCGCATGAGGTCCTCAAAGGCCTCCAGGCCCTCCATCACGCGCAGCACGCCGTACACCGCCTGCGGGCGCAGAGGGCGTCCAGACCGCCGCCTGCCAGCCGGGCCCTGGGCCCGCCCCCCCCCCGCCCCCTCCAGAGCCCCACCCCCCCAGGGCTCGTTTGCCCCGGGGCTTTGAACGAAGCGCGGGCTGACTGTAGATTCTGCCCCTACACACACCCTGTTTTGGGGTAACCCCCCCACCGGGTTTCCTTTGAGAAAACGCCTCTCCCCGCTCTCGGGTCCCGAGACCTCCCCCCAGCGCGGGCTGCCATCAGGGTGGGGAGGACGCCGGCTTCAGGGAGCGTGGCCATGGGCGTGGCAGCCAGGACGTTTGCTGGGCAGCCTGGGCCTGGACCAAGGCTGGCCTTGGGCTGAGGCCAACTCCACGGAGTAGGAGAGCCACAGGGCCCTGCGCCCGGTGATACCCCTGGGAGCCTGGATCCAGCCAGGCCTGAAGCCAGCCCCTCCGCTGAACGTGTCCGTGTGGGAACCAAGGCAGCTCCTTGTAGCTGGTTCTCCGGAAGCCCTGCTCACCGGCGGCCCAGCTGCCTCTGGCGTGAGTATTGCCTCCACCTGCGCTCCCCCTGCCCGGGCTGCCCCGGCCCAGAGTCTGCGCCCTCGGCCTGGGCACCCCCACCACCACACTCACCAGGTCCGCCAGGTTGGGCTTCTGGCCCCCCATGAAGGGCCGGTCCTTGCCCACAGCGGCCACCCACTTGTCGGCGGCCTCGTACAGGTCCTCCCGCACGTCGTCCTGGAGGTGGTGCCTGGGGGGAGGGCGGCCCATCAGCGAGGCTCCGCCGGCCAGGGGAGGCCGAGGGAAGGCCCGCGCCCGCGCACCCTCACCTGCTCTTGAGCCGCTTGCTGATGAAGTACATGGCGGCGGCGCCCACGTACTTGGCCATGGCGCCCTCCACCGCCCCGAACTTGCCCTCCCGGACGATGTAGTCGAAGGAGGCCAGGGCCTCGGCGGGCGTGCGGTACACGTTGGGGGAGATGAGGTGCACCAGCCAGTCGTCCGCCCACTGCCGCCATCTCATCTCCTCCCTGCGGGCAAGCGGGGCACGGGCTGGCCAGGGGGCTCCCTGAGCCGGGGCTGGGAGCAGGGGGCAGACCCACTATCTGGCCCCCCAGTGCGTGATGGGAGCTGAGGCCTCAGCAGCGCGTCCTTATAGAGTGAGGTGACCAGACGTCCCGACTTTTAACAATCTATCCCGCGTCCCGACTGCGCCGAAACCGGTTTGGCTCAGTGGATAGAGCGTCGGCCTGCGGACTGAAAGGTCCCAGGTTCGATTCCGGTCAAGGGCATGTACCTTGGTTGCGGGCTGACCCCGTTAGGGGGTGTGCAGGAGGCAGCTGGTCGATGTTTCTCTCTCATCGATGTTTCTAGCTCTCTATCCCTCTCCCTTCCTCTCTGTAAAAAAATCAATAAAAATATATATTAAAAAAGTTATATTTTAAAAAAAAATCGTGACTGTCCCGCCAAAACTGGGACGTCTGGTCACCTTATTACAGAGACTCAGCCCAGCTTGTGGCCTCCCAAGCTGCTGTCCCCGCACAGCCTCTCATCCAGCCTGGTCCCTCTGGGGGAGACCCCTCCCCCGGAGCCCCCGCCCCGCCCCGCCCCCTCCCCCGGCGGCCAGCCCCACTCACGTCCTGGCCTCCTTCCCGCCGTACACTTTCTGGGCTTCCTTCTCGTCCAGCATGAGCCAGTACTTGTTGCAGAACTCGGTCACCTCCTTGCCCTGGTCGTTGGTGGCCTTCATGGGTGGATAGTAGGTGACGATGACATCCAGGGGCTGCCTTCGGGGTACATCCAGAGTCTCACCCCAACTCCTTCCTCCGCCCGGAGACCCCGCCCCGCCCCGCCTCCTTAGGGTGACTCTCCACCCCCAGCCCCTCCCCAGCCCGGCCCAGCCCGGGAGGGGAGGGGAGGGGGGGAGCCAGAACCGGCCCTTAGAAGTGCAGCCTGGGACCAGGGGATGGGGGGTGGGGCAGACAACAAGGACTCCCTGACCGGGAGGTGTGCGGAGAGGAAGGGGAGTCTGAGCAGGACGCCCTTGACCGTTCGGGACATGGAAGCAGCAGCCCCACCCGCGCCTGGAGACCGTCTCCGGGAGCGCCTTACCCCGACACCAGGTGGGACTTGAGGGCGCTGATGATGACGGAGGAGTCGTTCAGCTGTTGCTGGAGGAGAAGGGGGTGATTCAGACGGGGATGGGGCGGAGGGCTCACACCATGCCCAGCATTCCTCAGACGGGTGTGTGGGGGGGGGGCGGGGGGGGGGGGACCAGGGTACTGTGGTCCACTCCTGGGGGGTTACCCCATAACCCCTGTCCACGGAGCTCTCCCCACCCCCAGGACACAGCCCCCACTCTCAGGGCAGCCGGTCAGCAGGGAGGCCCGAGTGTGGCTCATGGGGAGGAGGGGGCAGGGAGGACCTCGGGTCTAGGCCCCGCCTGCTTCTCTACTTGGCCTCCAGGGCCCTGAGGAGCAGGGTGGGTGCCAGGAGCACCATGCTGGGAGCCAAGCACGGGCCCGGCTTTCCCTACAACCTGGAGAGCGTGGTCCTCTGCGGACGGATGAAGCAGCACACCCAGAGAGGCTGAGTGGCTGGCCCCAAGTCACACAGCCGGTGAGGGGCAGAGCCTCGTCTTGAACCCAGACCACCCTGATTTCAGAGCCCACATTGCTCAGCTCTGTGGTGCTCTGTACCCCTGGACCAGGCTGGTGTCCGGTGCTGGTGGGGAAGGACGGCAGCCTCCGTTTACTGAGCACCTACTGTATACCGGCTACTTCCCCCCAGCGCCCTCAGCGGAGGCCAGGAGCCCCAGTTCCTCCCGGGGCTGAGCCGGGAGGACTCCAGGGCACCCCAGGACATGGCGGGGGCTCCCGAGGCTCACCAGGCTCTCTCCTTCCTGGGCCAGCAGGATGGGCACCTTCCTGTAGGCGGAGAACTTGATCTCAGCCCTCCGCACAGGGTTCACCTCCACCACCCGGTAGGGCAGGGCGTGGAAGTCCAGGAAGGCGCGCACCTTGCTGCAGAAGGGACACGTCTTGTACTGGTACAGAGTCAGCTGCAGGCGGTCCGACAGGGAGAGCTGGGTGGGAGCAGAGGGAGGGGGGCTTCTGAGGCCGTTTCCCAGGCCTGGCCCTCCCCGCCCCCCCAAAGCCAGGCCTTGCCCCAAGCAGACTTGTTCCCAGGGGAGCCCTCTCAGACGGCCCTGAGGGAAGGGGGGTGATGGAGAGCCGAGGCTCAGCCTCCATCCAGATGCCCCGCCCCAGCGCAGCCAGAGTGGGTTCTGCCTCCAGCCAGCGGTTCTCAGCCTTCCTAACGCCGCAGCCCTTTAATATAGATCCTCAGGCTGTGGTGACCCCAACCATGAGTTATTTTTGTTGCTACTTTATAACGGTAATGTTGCTACTCTTATGAATCGTAACGTAAGTATCTGTGTTTTCCGATGGTCTTAGGCGACCCTGCTAGCGCTAGCGGTTCTCAACCTGTGGGTGCAACAGTAGCAAAATGACAGTTATGAAGTAGCAACGAAAATAATGTTATGGCTGGGGTCACCACAACAGGAGGCGCTGTTAAAGGGCTGCGGCATTAGGAAGGCTGAGAACCACTGCTCTAAGGGGCAAGGGTTGTATCAGGGCCTCGGGCCAGGATCCGCAGGAAAGCCCCCTGTGAGCTTGCTGCATATTCTAGTTCGAAAGTGACAGCTGCAGTCCACTGCCCTCAGTGTCCAGGTGGGAAACTGAGGCTGGAGCCGTGGAAGTGAGACACAGAGAACTCTACTCCCCTCCCACCCTCCCTGACACTCTGGGTGCAGGGATAAGGGGGTGAATGGGAGGAGGGGGCGGGGCACAGCAGAGAAAGGCTGTGCTGGTGCAAGTTACAAAGAATTGCAAGGAAACCTGGCTGGGGAGACACGTCCATGTCCCTCCGAATCTAGGGGTCATCGTTCCATAAAAAATGCTAATAATAATATCAATCAATAAATACACAACCTTAGGATTGGAAGACGATGGGGAGCCGACAAAATGTTTGGAATGGGGATAAACTGAAAGAGGCTTTCTTTTCTCTTTTCTGTGATCTCAAAATCTCCCCGTTATAAAGTCTTTAAACCAGTTAGAAACACAGCTTTAGGCCAAAGACGATTCCAGTGAGCAGGCGGCAGTAACGGCCCCATTTCATGGATGAGGACACTGAGGACTCGGAGACAAAACCAAGTCACTCGCCCAAGGTCACGAGCGGACAGCGGAGGCGACTCCGGACCCGGCCGCCTCCCGAGGTCCCGCAGCTCCGCGCCGCCCCCGCGCCCCTGCCCGCGCGGCGCTCGGCCGGCCCGGCTCACCTGCGCGGCGGCGCGCTGGGCGCGCAGGTCCTGGGCGCGCAGGTGCCACCGCGCCGTGCAGTACAGCCCCACCGCGCCGCCCAGGGCCAGCGCCGCCCGCCCCAGGAGCCGCCGGCTGCCCTTGCGGGCGATGGCGGCGGGGCCCGGGCCGCCCGCCGCCCCTGCGAAGCCAGCCCGGCTCTGCGCCGGGAGCCGGGGCGCCGGGAGGCCGCCCAGCCGCCAGGCCAGAGCGCGCCCGCTGGGCCGCAGCACGCGTGCAGCCTGGGCCATGTTCTCGCTACCGGCGCCGCGGGCGGGCGCGCGAAACCAAGACCGCCGGGCTGCTTAGGCTTCCCTTAAAGGGCCAGGTGTCAGGTGGCAGGCTGGTTGCCAAGGTAACAGTGACGCCGAGCGAGCAGGCCCGGAGGCAAAGTCTTTGCATCTCTCCGCAGTGCCGCAGAAACACCTCCGGGGTGTCTGGGAGAAGCTAAGCGCCCCGGATCCTCCACACGTAGATGAAAAGGTTCTCCGTGGTGACCCGGGTCGAAGGGAGGGAATGCCCGGGCGCCAGCCTCTGCTCGGCCACGCAGCTCCGGATGTGGGCTCTGAGTCCCAACATTGGCCGTAACTTGTGGTTAGTCATTTCTGCCTCATGCACCCAATCGAAAGAGACTGAACCCTTCGGGGTGTCAGGGAGTCACGGCTTCCGGTCCTTGAGGGCCCCGAATCCGCCCCATCCAACCAACAGCAGGAGGGCGCCGGAGACGCAGCTCTTTCTGCCCTCCCGCTCCGCCGCACTGTGTCTCCTACGGCTTGAACCACAAAATCTTCCCTACGTACAGGGGACCTTTAGGAAACAAGGTGTCTAAGATTTCGCCCACGCGGAGGAGCTGGCTCTCCCAGCCGCAAGTCCCCAGTGGTTGGATGAGGCAAATGGGGGAGGCATGAGGGTCCCAGTCTGCACCGACTCTCTGCCGTGCTGGGTCGTCCTGGCTGGAGGCCGGAGGCCCCGACATTCAGGCTTCTCTGCGGGCAGGCCCCGGTTGGCCCCGCCTTGCGGCAAGGCCTGAGGGCGGGATTGGTTGAGGGTGAGAAGGGGCGGAGCCTGGTGGCGGGACCACTAGGACCTCTCGCACACTAGACCTGGTTTACAGAAGGGGAACGGGCGCTTCTGGGTTTGCCCCAGCCACCTGGGTGAACCCCCGTGGGACAGCACACCTCCGCCCGGCGATCAAGTCATCACCAGCAGCGATCAGCCATGTGGAAGCGTGTTCCCCTGATATGATGTGGTACAAATGTCACCTGACCTCTGTAGCTTTCCTCCTGAAACTCATAAGCCCGGGCTAGTCTCGAGAAAAACGCCTGACAAGTCCCAATAGAGGGCGATTCTACAAAACACATGGCAGTCCTCCTCAAAACTGGCAAGGTCATCAAGACCGAGGGAAGTCTGCCGCTGGTGTGGCTGAGTCTTTGAGCATCGACCTGTGAACCGGGAGGTCAGGGTTCCGTTCTCAGTCAGGACTGGATTCCCAGAAGGGCGTGTGCAGGAGGCAGCCAATCAATGATCTCTCTCATCACTGATGTTTCTAGCCCTCTCTCTTCCTCTCTGAAAACAATAAGGAAACTCTGAGCAAGTGTCACAGCCAAGAAGAGCCCAATGAGGCATGACAACTAAATGTAACGGGATCGCCCTGGCTGGTTTGGCTCAGTGGATAGAGCGTTGGCCTGCAGACTGAAGGGTCCCAGGTTCTGGTCTAGGACACATACCCAGCTTGTGGGCTCGATCCCCAGTAGGGGGTGTGCAGGAGGCAGCCAATCAATCAATCAATCAATGATTCTCATCATTGATGTTTCTTATCTCTCTCTGAAATCAATTATATATATATAGATAGATAGATAGATAGATAGATATTTTTTTAAGTGTGTATTCTCATATGTAATTGTCAGGTATTAAAAAAAAAAAAAAAGCAACATGGTATCCTGAAACATTTCCTTATGTACAAACCAAGGAAATCTGCCAAAACCGGTTTGGCTCAATGGATAGAGCGTCGGCTTGGGGACTGAAAGGTCCCGGGTTCGATTCCGGTCAAGGGCATGTACCTTGGTTGCGGGCATATCTCCAGTAGGGGGTGTGCAAGAGGCAGTTGATTGATGACTCTCTCTCATCGATGTTTCTAACTCTCTATCTCTCTCCTTTCCTCTCTGTACAAAATCAATAAAATATATTTAAAAAAAATAAAGTGATATATTATAAAAAAATAAAAATAAAAAAACCAAGGAAATCTGAATAAAATATGGACTTTAGTTAATAATGTATCGCAGAAATCGGTTTGGCTCAGTGGATAGAGCATCTGCCTGCTTACTGAAAGGTCCCAGGTTCAATTCCGGTCAAGGGCATGTACCTGGGTTGCGGGCACATCCCCGGTGGGGGATGTGCAAGAGGTAGCTGGTCAATGTTTCTAACTCTATTCCTCTCTCTTCCTCTCTGTAAAAAAATCAATAAAATATATTTTTAAAAAATAATGTATCAAAAGTGGTTCCTTAATTGTAACATGTCACAGTAATATAAGATGTTAATGATAAGGGAAATGATGGATATATGAAAGCTCTGCAAACTATTTTTTAAATTTCCTATAAATCTGAAACAAAATTAAAAGTTCATCTTTTTTAAACGTGTCTAATTGTGCATTTTGAATATATTGCTTGGCTGGTGTTCTCTTTTTGGGAAGATTTGTTAATAACTTGTCAACTCTGTGATGTTATAGGGTCACTCTCTCTTTTACTTCATGAACCCATAAGTTCAAGCATTTCCCATTTCATTACCTATAGCATCCTCTTACCCTTTAATGTCTGTAAAATCTACAGTTATAGATATAACAATTTCTACGTCTGTTTATGTGTGTCTTCAGGCAACTTGGAGGGTATTGTTGTTCCCCAGCCACCACGCTGGGCCGAACACGGCTCACACGTTTCCGGGACCGGTCCAGGGGGTTAGACGGGATTCCTGACACGCAATGGGCACCAGGAACACACGGCTGCCTTCCTGAAGGGATTAGGGCAGGTACGGGGCCTGGGCCCTGTGGTCGGGAAAACAGGCCACCGTGTCGGGGGGAGCCCAGGTCTGGGGCCTGTGGAGAGGGGAGAGCCACCTGCCAGGCCGTGGGGGCGGGAGGGGGTCTGGAGCAGCCAGATTCCTACTGGCCTCAGGCCACGGAGAAACCCAGGGGCAGATAGTGTTTAAGTTCCTGCCGCTGCTCCGCGGACCCGGAGCGGGACCTGGAAGGCCCAGCCCTGGCTTCTCCCGGGAGGACCTTGGCCCAGAAGCCGTGTGGCTTGTGATGGGCCAGGGGAAGTGGGCTGGGGTCTGGCATGCTCACGAGGTCAGACCATTCTGCCTAGGGATCGCCCCAGCTCTGGGCAGGTGAACCTGAGAGTTCCCTCCCCGACCAGGTGCCCAGACCCCGGGGGGAGGGGGTGGACGAGGAGTGGGGCCACCAGGGTCCCGTCCGCCCTGGAGCGCTTAGAGTCAGCCTGAGTCCGCCCAGGAGTCCCCCCGCGCCCTCACCCAGCTCCCCCCCCAGTGCTGGCTCAGCTGTGCCAGGAGGGGTGCCTGTTGAGCTGCCCCTGCCTGAGAGCCCTGAGAGTTTTCCTCTCACCCCGCCAGCCTGCAGGCCCTGCCTGAGGCAGAATGCAGGAGGCACCCCCAGCGGCCCCCTCCCGCCAGCTCCAGCCGGCCCAGCACTGACTCTGCCCCAGCGATGGCCATGGCTGTCCCGGGACCCCTGCTGTTTCCCAAACTGGCCCCGTACGTGGAGGGCAGGGAGAGACCAAAGAGAGAGCCGGGCCACTCCGGAAGGTGGGGCAGGTCTACCAGCGAGGAGCTACCGGCTGGTCCTGGGCGCCGAGAGACGAGCAGACCTCCGGTCGCCGCCAGACCTTCACGGCTGTCACATGTGCCACCGGGGGCTCAGGAGCAGCTCCTCAGGCTGTGCACTGATCAGTGAGGGGGGCAGAGGGCACAGGGGTGAGGGGAGGGCAGAGGGCATGGGGGTGAGGGGGGCAGAGGGCACGGGGGTGAGGGGGGCAGAGGGCACGGGGGTGAGGGGGGCAGAGGGCACGGGGGGGAGGGGGGCAGAGGGCACGGGGGTGAGGGGTGGGCAGAGGGCACGGGGGTGAGGGGGGCAGAGGGCACAGGGGTGAGGGGGGCAGAGGGCACGGGGGTGAGGGGGGCAGAGGGCACGGGGGTGAGGGCTGGGCAGAGGGCACGGGGGTGAGGGGGGCAGAGGGCACGGGGGTGAGGGGGGCAGAGGGTACGGGGGTGGGGGGGGGCAGGGATTCGCAGCACCGGGCCCAGGCTGCTCATGCTGCAGATGCTGTCCTGCCCTCCCACAGTTCCCAGGGGGCATGGCCACTCTGTCCTGGCTTTGAGAGTCTGCCCAGTGACTCCTGGTGATCCGGACACTGCCCCTTCCCCAGGTAAAACCCTTTGGGGCTCCACGGTCAGTCTCCCCCACATCCAACAGCCACCAAAGCCTCAAGGATCCCTTTTAAGGTCAAAGAGAGCGGCTGGGAGGAGCCCTGGCCTGCTGGCGGGAGGAGAGGCCAGGGCGGGGGGCTGGGGTACCCCCGGAGCGCGCGCGGGCTCTGGTGGCCACATCGTGGGAAAGCTTTGCTCATCTCCACTTCCTGCCCTTTCGCCACCAGACAGGCAGCCAGGCGATGGCCAAAGAGGCCACGGCCACCGCCGCCCACCAGCTCAGAGCTGCCGGAGCCCCTTCCCTCCAGCCGCTGCCCGAGCCCCAGTGCAGGCTTCAGAGCGGCGGGTGGGGCAGAGCCAATGGCCGTCGGGGGCCAGGACACCCTCGGTTCCCTCAGGCCAGACGCCAGGCCCCTCTGTCCCCATGGCGGCATCCGGAGGCCCTGCCCTGGGGCTGAGCCCCGTCACCCCGCCCAGGGACAGCCAGAGCCCCAGTGAGGAAACTGCCCGCCAGGACAAGCTGGGGCCGCCATGGGAACACTTCTGGGCACCCGGGCCTGGACCACTGGACGGGGGCCCGGTGGTGGGTGGTCTCGGCGACCCTCAAGGGCCAGGCCCAGTCCTTGCAGCACCTTGGGTGCTGGGAGCCCAAGCGCCAGGTGTCAGAGCAGGAGGGTGGGGAGCGCAGTGCTCACCCCTTGCTGTCCCGGCTCTGGGTGCGGCTGGAGTGCCCGGCTTAGGGTCTTGGGGGCCCCCAGGAGGGGCCACATCCATAGGGATCAGCCAGGGCCGCTCCTGCCCATGGGCTGGAGGAGGGGAGGGGCAGCTCAAGGCAGGGCCCTTCCAGATGGGCGTCTGAGGAGGGGGTTCCCCTGTGCCAGGGCTGGCGGGGGCCCTTGGAGAACTCAGAACACAGTGTCCTTCCCCGTCAGGAATGTTCACGTCAGTGCCCCACCCTCCCCTGTGCCCTCTGAGAACCAGGAAACAGATCAGAGGGTCTCACCACACACACCCCCCTCCATCCCCCGCCGTGGATCCGGAAAGTCAGAGATGACAGCCCGTCCAGATCGGGCCACTGAACACAAACAGAGCGGAGGGAAGGGGCACGGAGCATGTGCCAGGAGCCTGTCTCGGCAGAGCCGGGGCGCTCGGGGGGAAGTCCCCGTGCCTCCCTGGCCTTCCTGCCCCTCCCTTTTGCCCAATCCTGACCGCGGGGAGAGGGGCCGAAAGCTTACCAAACGCCCCGCAGGAGTGGCCGGCAGTTACCTCACCTTTCCTGGATTTGGCAAAGGCCATGCCGCCCCACCCAGCGGGAGCTGGGGAACGGGGACCTTAAATAGGGCCCCTCAGGCCAGCTCCTCACTCCTCTTCCTCCTTCACCGCCTCCTGGCTCAGCAGCTGCCCGGTGGCCTCAGCCCTGCAACCATGGCCCTCCGTCTCCTGTGGCTGAGCCTCACCCTGCTGGGGGCCCTGCAGACCCAGGCCCAGGACTCCGCCCCGAACCTGATCCCAGCCCCGCCGCTGGCCAGGGTCCCGCTGCAGCGAAACTTCCGGGCTGACCAGGTGAGGCACCTGGCGGGCGCAGGGGGAGGGCCCCAGAGCAGGGGGAGCAGAGGGAGTTGAGGCCGAGTCTTAGAGAACATTTAGGAAGGACGGGCCCAGGTTTCAGCTCAGCCTGCCCGCCTGATGGAAACCATGCCCCCCACCCCCACCCCAGCCTCGCTGACCTGCTGGGTCCACATTCTCTCCCATAATCCCCATAGTCCCTGCAAGCTGGGGACACCTTCAGTCCCACTGGCCACGGTCACTCCATCCCTGCCCGACTCCGGGCTCCCTGTGCCTCGCAGCCTCCAGCGCCTGCCGGCTTTGTGGGCGCAGGCCCGGTGCAGGCCCGGGTCCCAGGCAGGAGTCCCGGGGCCCTGGATGAGGCGCTCCTGGCTCTGAGCCGGCCGCCAAGGGATGTGAGCAGGTACAGAGCCTTCGGGGCCCCTGCGGCCCCCCCGGGCCTGTCACCGGCCCCCTCGGCCTGTCACGGCCCCCTCGGCCTGTCACCGACCCCTCGGCCTGTCACCGGCCCATGGGCCTGTCACCGGCCCCTCGGCCTGTCACCGGCCCCTCGGCCTGTCACCGGCCCCTGGGCCTGTCACCGGCTCCTGCAGTTCCAGGGGAAGTGGTACGTGGTGGGCCTGGCGGGAAACGCGGTCTCCCAGACGGAGGACGGCCAGTTCACGATGTACACCACCAACTACGAGCTGAAGGAAGACGGCAGCTACAACGTCACCTCCACCCTGCTCCGGTGAGAGCCGCCGCCCGGGAGCATGGGAGCGGGGCTGGGGGAGGAAGGGCGCGGAGACAGGCTGATGTCACGGCCACCGGGTGACAGAAGCTGGCAGGGAGTCACTCTCCTCTGCTCAGTCCCGGGTTCACAAACGGTCCCCTCCTTCCTTCATTCATCCATCAGCACGTACGGATCACTTCTGTGCGCAGACAGTCGCAGGGACGCACACGGACAGGCCTCGGGAAACGGACAGAGGGGGGAAAAGGGGGGTGGGGGGTCTGGGGGGGAGGAGGGTCACTGCCCAGCCTGGAACCCCGTCGGCCCCTCCAGCGGCACCCTGGCTCCCACCGCGCCCAGCCCAGGGGGTCCGAGCCAGCGTGTCCCCCTCACCCATGCACCCCCCACTCCCACAGGAACGAGAACTGTGACTACTTCGTCAGGACGTTTGTCCGCACCTCCCGGCCCGGCCAGTTCCGCCTGGGCAACATTAGGGGTGAGTCCGAGTGATGTGGGCCCCGGGTTGGGGGCCCAGGCCTGGGGTCCTCCCAGAGGGGGAACCGGCCGTCCTGTGCGGGTGGGGGAGGAAGGAGCCGTCTGTCCCACCAGCCGGGCTGACCCCGCCGTCCGCCCCGCAGCTTACCCGGGCCTGCAGCGTTACACGGTTCGCGTGGTGGCCACCGACTACACCCAGTTCGCCATGGTGTTCTTCAAGAAGGTTTCCCAGAACCGGGGGTACTTCAAGGTCACCCTCTACGGTGGGTCTTCACCGCCCGGGGGACCCTCCTGTCCCAGACAGGGGAGGGAAGGGCCCCGGAGGCCAGGGAAAGAGGACTTTCCCAGACCCCCACCAGGAGGGGTGTGAGGCTCGTTCATCCACTCAACCATGCTCATGGAGGGTCTCCGGCCCCCGCCGGCCGTCTTGGCCACAGGAAGGACCAAGGAGCTGCCCCAGGAACTGAAGGAGAACTTCAGCCGCTTTGCCAAGTCCCTGGGCCTCGCCGACGACAACATCGTCTACCCCGTCCCCATCGGTAATGGCCGCTGGGGAGAGGAGGCAGGGGCGGGGGACTGTCCAGGCCTGATGACGTCCCGCAGGGAAACGGGAAGGGGGGCCGCCCCCCTCTAGTCCCCGGAGCCCCCCGGGAGCCGCCCTGGGTTCAGAAACACCACGTCCCAGCCCAGGGGTCTGCGGGGCCCCCGGGATCTGGCTCCCAAGGACTCTTCCCTGAGAGATGGCTCGGGCCGGCCCAGATGGGAGTTTCTGGCCGGTCCCAGCTTCCCAGGCTCATGGGCTGGGCCCCCTCCCCCAGAGCCCCCGGCCTCGCCAAGGCTGAGGGCTCCCAGGGCTCATGGGGTAACGGGCAGGAGACCTCGGTGCTAGCAGGTGGCTGGGAACAAGTGACCCCCAGTGTTCTCAGGCCCTTCTCTGGGTCCCCTCCCCCATCGCCTGTCCCTCTGCTGCCCCAGCCCCGAAGGGAGCTCTGGATCTGCTGCTCCTGGGCCAGGCTGGGGCCTGGGGCCGCCGGGGGGCAGGGCAGGGGTCCTGGTGGTCAGGGGTCACACACCTCCCTGCCTGTTGTGACGAACTGTCTCCCCCACAGACACCTGCATCGATGACGAGTGAGCATGCGGTGAGTATGGATGGGAGGGGCTGATGGGAGCCAGAGTGCAGGGCGGGCTGCTCCGCTACCTGGCACTGTTGCCATGGTGACTCCCTGCCTTCCTTTCAGGTGCCTCCTGCCTTTCTCCTTCCCGGTGCCTTCCTATCAGCCTCTGCCCAAGGTGCCACCCAGCTGCCCCCACAAGCCGGCCGCCCCTGAGAGCCAGGAGCCTTCTCACAGCTCGGCCCAGCGCTGCTCCTGGCCACCCTGCTGATGGAATTGCTCCCCGACTGCTAAATAAACACAAGCCTCAGACCCCCTGTCTGTGTTCCTTGCCCACTGGGCCACCTGGGAGGGCAAGGGTGGCTCTCAGCATCACTCCCAGGCCGCCGTGAGGCCCCAGTGAGGGATGGAGGTCCCAGAGCGTGAGTCCATCTATGGACACTTCCTAACTTCCAATCCTGGGTCCGCTCCTGCCTCTTCTCCCCCTGCAAGGTCAGAACCCAGGCTCCCCCTCACAGGCTTGCACACCTATCCCATCGCCCTGGGCAGGGGGATGGGAGATGCTGGTGCGGTGAGCAGTCTCAGCCTCAGCCACCAGGGGCAGCACAGACCTGGAGCCAGGCCCAACCAGATGCCGCTGTAGCTCAGGGCCAGACTCAGGGGAAGATCAGTTCAGTGGATCCCGGACTAGAGATAGGGGGGCCGTGCCCAAGGCCAGAAAGGCCCCCACAGGAAGGGCACCCAGCTGCCCAAGCACGTCCTAGCGCCCTCTCGGACCCGAAGATTTATCCCTCTCCAGGAATGGTCCAAGTCAAGTGCCGTCACCTGCTCCATCCAGGGGCACAGGTGCTTCTCCAGGCGACTGTGAGGGTGTGGCTGGCCCCAGCAGGGAGGAGTGCGGGCTTGGCACTGACTGAGTGGAGGGTGGCCTATTGGGAAACAGAGAAAGGATGCCCACACTTTATAGTCCGGGGAAGGGGTGGTGTCAGCTGACCTGGGTGAGGGACAGGTCACGAAAATTCTTCAGGCACTGGTTCAGCTGAGGCCTCACAGAGAAGGCAGTGGCACTGACCGTATGCAAGTCACTCTCAGCTGGAGATCACACCTGTGGGTCCCGCTCAGGAGCCACACTTGCTAGCTGGTGACTCAGAGCGGGGCTCCCTGTCCCAGCAGGTACAGGGGTGGGGTGATGGCAGCTGGGCCAGTCGTATCCCACGGCCTTTCTTGAAGGACAGCCACACGCAGCACTCTGCCGACCCTAACTCTTCTGGAGGCTGTGAAGCAAAATGTTCCCAAACCCATTAGGGCATCTCAGATTCCGCCCACGCGGGGGCGGTGGTTGGCCCACCCACAGGTCACCAGAGTCAGGAGGGGCAAAATGGGGACAGAATGAGGGAGGAGAGGTCCCAGGCTGCTTCTGCCCCTCGACCCCTTAGGCTTCCCGGCCAGTAGCCTGGGGATGGCTGGGCTCAGTGAGGAGCTCGACTGAGAGGGCGGAGCCCGGAGGGGGCGGGGCCTGGCGGCGGGCGGGGCGGGGTTCTGGCTGCGGAGGGGCGGGGTCTGATGACGGACGGGGCGGGGTTATAACCGGGGTGGGGCTCCTGGCCTTGTGGGCGGGGTCCCGGCTGCCCAGCCCGCAGGTCGCGTTCCTCCGCGCGGCTCCCCGCTTCCGGCCCCGCGCGACGCCCGCCCCCTCCACCTTCCGCCCGACGCGGGTTTCTGCGTGACGGTCGCGGCGTCTCAGCGTCTCGTGGCCTCTGCGGCGCCCGAGCCCGCAATGTCGGGCCCCAATATGGGCATGCCGTTGCTGCCGAGCACGGAAGACGAGGAAGACAGCTTCGGGGATGCAGGTGACGCAGGGGGACTGCGGAGGCGGCAGCTGCTTTCTCAGGGTCCCTTCCCGGGAAGGTGGAGGGGGCGCGGAGAGGGGTTGGGAAGGAAGGGGCCTCCCATGCCCCGCTCCTGGCTGGGTCCTGGCTGGGCTGCAGGTTCGGGGCGAGCACCTGCCAGCGGGTGTGGGCGCCTGAGCATCGGCTCTGTGAGCGGCGGGCCCCATGTCACCGAGTCCGGGCTGCCTCACCCCCGCGCTTTGGGGTGTGCTCCGTCCTTGGTTCGGCCCCGGAGGGGGCCGCGGGCCGCGGTGGCCCAGCCCGAGGGCGGTTTGAATGTGACCTGTTTACCAAGCAGCCTCTGTGTGCACAGCACTGCGGCGGAGGGAGGTGGGTGAGGAGTGCAGGGAGGACCGTCAGCTTCCTGCTCGCCCTCTGAAGCCTGTGCTCTCATCCGTAAAATCATAGTGACTGATGCCTCGGCTTTGGGATGTGTCAGGATTAAATGGGAAAATGAATGAGAAATGCTTAGCAGGTCCCGAAATGCGAGTGTTCAGTAAATGGCTATTGTCATTCTTGGTGTAATAAAGACTGGGCTCTTCGATGCAGGACTCAGTAAAGGTAGGGGATGGCATCTGCGTTTTGCTTTGGTAACAGCTTTATTGAGCTATAATCCACATACTATACAACTCATCCATTTAAATTGTACGATTCAGTGGGTTTCTCAGTATCCAGAGTGTGCATCCGTCACCTCAATAGTTTTATTTTTTTAAAATATATTTTTATTGATTTCAGAGAGTGAAAGAGAGATAGAAGCATCAATGATGAGAAAGAATCATTGATTGGCTGCCTCCTGCACGCCCCCTACTGGGGTTGGACCTGCAACCTGGGCTTGTGCCCTTAAAGAATCGAACCCGGGACCCTTCAGTCTGCAGGCTGACGCTCTGTCCACTGAGCCAAGCTGGCGAGGGCCTCACCTCAGTAGTGTTAGAACGCTTCCGTCGCCCAGGGCCTGCGTTTAATAGAGTTGACCTCCCACAGGAAAAGTGGCGAGCTGCCCGCTCTGCCCTGGACGGGGCCAGGTGTGTGTGTGAAGCTACAGCAAGAAGGGCCGGTTTGGTTCAGTGGTTAGAGCCTCGGCCTCAGACTGAAGGGTCCCGGGTTAAATTCCGGTCAGGGGCATGCACCTTGGTTGTGGGCACATCCCCAGTGGGGGGTGTGCAGGAGGCAGCTGATCTATGTTTCTAACTCTCCCTCCCTTCATTTCTGTAAAAAAGTCAATGAAATATATTTAATTAAAAAAAGAAAAGGGCCTCCCGGACTCGCACTGAGTGGTCGCTGGCAGAGGCACGGCACTTTGCACGGTGGGAGGAGCGGGGTGAAGGCTTGGACCTGGGCAGCACCTTGGCACAGAGGAAGCCTGGCCCGTGCTGTGGAGACACGCCTCCTCGTCCTTCTCCTGGCTGTGTCTGTTGACACAGACTGTTGACACAGAAGGGGACGTGGTGATGACAATGACCATGGTGGTGATAATGACCATGGTGGTGACAATGACCATGGTGACAATGACCATGGTGGTGACAATGACCATGGTGGTGATAATGACCATGGTGGTGACAATGACATGGTGGTGACAATGACATGGTGGTGACAGTGACTATGGTGGTGACAGTGACCATGGTGGTGACAATGACATGGTGGTGACAGTGACTATGGTGGTGACAATGACCATGGTGGTGACAATGACATGGTGGTGACAATGACATGGTGGTGACAGTGACTATGGTGGTGACAGTGACCATGGTGGTGACAATGACATGGTGGTGACAGTGACCATGGTGGTGACAATGACATGGTGGTGACAATGACCATGCATTAGGTTAGGGGTGTCGAACTCAATCAGAGAAGGGGCCAAAATCTAAAATCCAGCCTAAATCGCGGGCCGAATGGTTTACTGAACAGTCATAAACTGTCATTGTGATGGAAACGCAGCGGAGTGCAGTGATGACAGCGCGGGGCGGGCCACATTGCAAGGCCTGGAGGGACGGATTTGGCCCGCGGGCCTTGTGTTTGACACATGTGCATTAGGTACTTGCTGCAGCCTACCTGAGCCCTTGATACTCTTGAACCCTCACAGCCACCAGCGCTGTCTCCCTTCTCCAGGGAGGTTGCAGGAACTTCCTGGGATGGAGCTGAGCGGGGGCTGAAGCCCAAGGGCCCCACTTCCCAAGTCTGAATCTTGGCTCTGACCTCTGACCAGCTGGAGGACCCTGGGCAAGTCCTTTCCTTCCCCGGCCTCAGTTTCCCCTCCTGTACCACCAGGTGGTTGGATTGCAAAGCCCACCAGAGACTTTCCAGGCCTCTGGCCTCTGAGGTGTGCCAACACTGGGTGACGGGCGCTCTTCCTCCAGAATGCAGACAGATTTAAAACCATATTCGCATCCATATTCCAGACACCCTCCAGCGCTGGCCTTTTCCAGACTCTGCCAGCCACTTCCCCCCGTCCCCAGCTGGCAGCAGAGTGTATCTGAGTCACGGGCTGGCTCAGACTGGCTCCCACAGTGGGCACAGGCCAGCCCTTGGCCCCACGGGACACTGTGTTGCTGGGTGCCGGTCAGGGATGGCTGAGGAGGAGGCAGTGACGGTTTCTGGTGGAGACCAGGAAGGGCTTCTCAGAAGAGGTGTTTGGAGCGAGCTGCTAAATGGCTGCTGTTGCGGTATTGTGGGTGGCAGGGACAGCCAAGCAAAGGCAGAAGGGCTGGAAAGCAGGAGGCTTCATTCATTCATCCATTCATTCATTCATTCATTCAGCAGACGCTCAGGGAGCGCCTCGGGCAAACAGCAGTGAACACAAGACCATCCACTTCTCACGGAGCTCTGTGCCTGGTGGGGGAGGCAGACCAGCACGCAGGCCATCAGAGCCGGAGGCCCGAGGGGTGCGGAAGGGAGTCAGGCATAGAGGGGTGTGGCCTGGGGTGTTGGGAGGGCTCCCTGGGGTGACTTCCATGCTGAGCCGTGAAGCATGAGTAGGACCCTCCAGGAGGAGAGGAGGGAAGACAGGAGGGGTACAGTGCACTCCAGGCAGAGGCAACAGCATGTACAAGGGGCCCGAGGTGGGCAAAGGCAGATGTGAGAGGAGAGGAAAAGGCGGGGGGGGGGGGGGGGGGGAGTGGGTCTTGGAGTCTCCTGGGTGTCTCATTGTGAGGGCAGAGGCATGAAGAGCTGGCGGGATGGGCTTGCCTAGGGCCAGAGGCCTGGGTTGCCTGACTCAGGAAGGGGAGCGTGGCCTCTCAGGTGAAGGAGTGGAAAGGAGGTTGGTATCTGGCAGGACTTCCCAGGCAGGACCTGGCTGACCCTGTGTGCTAGGGCAGTGGTCGGCAAACTCAACACAGCCAAATATCAACAGGACAACGATTGAAATTTCTTTTGAGAACCAAACTTTTAAAACTTAAACTTCTTCTAACGCCACTTCTTCAAAATATGCCAATACCAGTTTGGCTCAGTGAATAGAACATTAGTCTGTGGACTGAAAGGTCCCGGGTTCGATTCTGGTCAAGGGCATGTACGTTGGTTGCGGGCACATTCCCGGTAGGGGGTGTGCAAGAGGCAGCTGGTTGATGTTTCTCTCTCATCATTTCTAGCTCTCTATCTCTCTCCCTTTCTCCCTGTGGAAAATCAATAAAATATATGTTTTTTAAAAAGATGTTTCTACCTCTTTATACCTCTCCCTTCCTCTCTGTAAAAAATCAATAAAATATATATTTTTTATACAACAACAAAAAACAAAATGGACTCGCCCAGGCTGTGGCATTTTGTGGAAGAGCCACACTCGGGGGCCAGAGAACCACATGTGGCTCTCTTACCGCAGTTTGCCGACCACTGTGCTAAGGCGTTCTCTCTCTAAAGCCTTCCCTCTTTTTATGTCCACCCCTTTGCACACAGTGACCTGAGCTGAGGCTCAGGAAGGAGCCCTTTAGCAGTCAGGCTGGGGGTGAGGGGTGTCTGTGAGCACTCTCTTTCCCTTCCTCCAGAATACGCTGCCATCAACTCCATGTTGGACCAGATCAACACCTGCCTGGACCACCTGGAGGAGCAGAACGACCACCTCCACGCCCGCCTCCAGGAGCTGCTGGAGTCCAACCGGCAGACGCGCCTGGAGTTCCAGCAGCAGCTAGGGGAGGACCTCGATGACGACGAGGATGACGATGACGACGAATACTACTACGACGCCTACGACGCCATCTACGAGGACGACGCCGGTGCCTAGGCTCCTCGCAGGCCCGCCCCCTGCCCCTCGGGGCGGGGCTCCGGCCTGGGCACTCACCACCTGATTCAGATGCCTTCTCAAGGGCTGGCCCCAGGTCCCCCGGCGGCTCTGCCTGCCTGAGCCACTCTCAGACCCTCCCTCGTGCGCAGGCACCTCCCCCGCCCCGCCTTCCCTCCCCCCTTGCCTGCCTGTCCCACCCCTGGGCACTCTCCCTCTGCCCAGGCCTCCAATGTCCACATTAAACGTGTCTCCAACAACACCGCGCCTCTGCCTGGATCCTGGTGCGAACCCCAGGGCGACAGCTGGACAGAGCAGTCAGGGCGTTCAGGTGCTGCTGGTGGGCCTGGAGGGGGGAATGGGTTCTTGTTTTCCTTATTTCTTGGCACAGAGAGGACAGGTGAGGTGAGGACTTCCTCCCCAGCCAGGGTGAGACAGCACTGGCCATGCTGTCTGACCTGTGCGATGCCCTTAGCTTCTCTGGGTACTAGGGCTGTCACTAAGACCGCCAAGGCACGGTGCGGGAGCGTGGGCACCACCCTCCTGCTCTTGGCCTCAGTCTCCCCAGCTGGCCAACACCAGGGTTGGTCTGGCTGTCTGATCTGGAAGGGGCTTTCCAAATGGGGCAACAGCAGCAACAAAGGTAACTCTGCCCAGGCTCCAGTCACGGATGACTCATCCCAGGTCACTTGACGAGAAGGCAGGTCACCATTAGTGCACCGTGAACTGGGAACCGGGGGAGCAGAAAGGCCCCCCTTCCTGACTCCAGCCCCCACAGAATCCCTCTGGAGAGAGGGCCCAGCGCTCAGGCCTGGAGTCCAATCCTGGCCACTCACTGGTGTGTGACCTTTAGCCAGCCACTTGACCTTGCTAGGCCTTCCTTTCCTTATCCTGAATTTGGGGTAACAGGACCTCCCTCCTAGGGGCACTGTGAGGATTAAATGAGATCTCACTTGACCATTTTCCTGGCCCTGAGACATTACTAAGAGGGAAACTGAGGCTCAGAGAGGTGAAGCGCCTGTGGTCCCAGAACCTCTGGTTTGGGAACCTGTTCGGCTGTCAGACTGAGAGCTGGCTGGTGCCGCCCTTCCCCGTCCACCCAGACAGAGTGCTGGTGGGGACCAGACAACCAAGCTACTTTCTTTTATTGGGTTTCTGGGTAAAAACACCAACCAGGTCAAGTTTCTGTGCAGACTCCCGGAAGCACAGCTCTGGGCCCACCAGGCGGCTGTGGGAGCTCCCGTCAGGTTTTGAGGCGGGTTGAGCGCCTGAATGGGGGGGGCTGGGGAGCCTGGGCGGTCACCTTGCTGGGGGGCTTGGCCGTGTCCTGGATGCCGGGCTGGGGGTGCGAGCGGCCGCTGGCGGTGAACAGAGCCGTCAGGGCGTTGCGGGCGGTGATGGCACACCGGCGGCTCACGGGCCTGGCGGCAGGGCTGGGATCCTGGGCCTTCTTGTGTTTCTGGGCACAGAGAGCGCAGATGGGGCAGGGCCTCCCCGCCTGGTGCGCTCCGGGCCAGCAGCTGCCTCCCCAGCCCAGCGAGAGGGCGCTGGACGGGCAGTGTGACCCTGTGTGTGCGCTCAGCCTCCCTGGGCCTGGCCCTCAGCACCGCCCCTCCCACAACAGAAACAGCAAGAGCCCCGCCCTGGTTCTCCCCTTTGTGGCAAGTCCTCCCTGTGTGTGTGTGTGAGTGTGTGTGTGAGTGTGTGTGTGTGGGTGTGTGGGTGTGTGCGTGTGTGCGTGTGTGCGTGTGTGTGTGTGTGTGTGTGTGGGTGTGTGTGTGGGGTGTGTGGGGGGGGTGTGTGTGGGGGGGTGTGCATGTGTGTGTGTGGGGGTGTGTGTGTGTGTGTGTGTCTGTGGGGTGTGTGTGTGTGGGGGTGTGTGTGTGGTGTGTGTGTGTGTGTGTGTGTGTATGGATGTGTGTGTGGGTGTGTGGGTGTGTGTATGGGGGGGGCTGTGGGGGGTGTCTGGGAACTGGGGTCACACACAGGAGGGAGGTGGCCACCGGCCGTCACTCCAGTTTGGAGGGAGGGAGTGGGGGGTGGGAGGTGGGGGGGCCCGAGGCCAACTCACCTGCAGGTTCTCCAGGTGGGCCGCGGACTTGCAGTGGGAGAGCTTGGCCCCCGAGTTGCCGTGGTAGAACTTGTGGCAGATGCGGCAGACGTAGCCCATCACCGGCACCATGACGTCCGCGCCTGTGGGCAGGGGTCTGTCACTCACGTTCCTCCACGCCCACCAGCGTGCCGCCCTTTAGAGCCCATTCGTTCCCTCCTTCCTTCTGGCGGGAGGAAGGGGCAGAGGACAGGCCCCTGGGCAGGTGCTGTGGCCGGGATCCGGGGGCACCCGGAGGCCGAGGTCTTACCATGTGCGGTGCTGGGGCTGTGGGTCTCTGAGTCCTTCCACTCGTCTGTGGCTGTCCCTTTGGACCTTCCCTGGAGAGAAGCAAGTGTGGGCCTCAGATCTGAATGCAGGCGGGGGGCTCAGAGCTCACCCACGCTCTTACACTCAGTGCCGGGGATTGTGAGGAGGCTGAGGGAGGCGTTCTCTGAGCCTTCGCACAGGCCCGTCCTGCTTCCCTTCCCCATCGATACTGTGTAGGCTCAGCTCAACCCGTCCCTTCCTCCAGGAAGCCCTCCTGCTCCCACATGGCCATAAGCCATGCCCGGTGTGCCCAACACGTCACACATGCCACCTGGCTGAATCCTCACGACCAACACCCATGGTTCACACATTTTACATAGAGGAAACTTGAACTCTCCTGCCTGGCGTCATACAGCTGGTCTGGGGAGGAGCCAGGGCAGTGAACCCGGGGGCCCCAAGTCCTGCTTTCACATTTCACCGGGAGCCCCTGCCAGCCCATGAGTCCCGGCTGATGCTGCAGTGACCTCAGTCCCGGGGGATGGGTTCTGGGTGACCTAGGACACCCCCCCCCCCCCCCCCCCGTCTCACCTGGCCACAGGCCCCTTCCAGCTGAGGCCACCTGACTCCAGCCATGTCAGCCTCCCCGTGCCTAACAGAGCCTCCCAACACCAGGCAGCAAACATAGCTTCTAAGTGTGACAGCCACGCCCGTGTGCCAGCCGGGGCGGGACCCTCACAGCCTGAGGGGGGACTGTGTGAAAGGAGGAAACAGGCTCAGAGCCGCCATGGGGCTTCTGACTGAAGAGCAAGGCCAGCCTCACCCCTAACCGGACTGGGGCTGGAGGCCACCCTGCCAGCCTCCCTCCACAGTCCCTCTGCGTCCTTTCTGCCGCCCCATCACCCGGGGCTGTAACGGGTGAGTCTGCCGGGCCTGGCCCAGAACAGCTGCTCCGGAAACATCTGTTAACTGAAGAGTAGCTCATGGGAGACAGAGTTCCGAGCACAACCGGGCATCCCAGTTGGTGAGATTCTGCCAGGAACGTGCTGGGTGCATGCCCGCCATACAGGCAGGTGCTCAAAAAGCGTGAGCTAGCCGAAACCGGTTTGGCTCAGTGGATAGAGCGTCGGTCTGCGGATTGAAAGGTCCTAGGTTCGATTCCGGTCAAGGGCACGTACATTGGTTGTGGGCACATCCCCGATAGGGGGTGTGCAGGAGGCAGCTGGTTGATGCTTCTCTCGTCGATGTTTCTAGCTCTCTATCCCTCACCCTTCCACTCTGTATAAAATCAATAAAACATACTTTTTAAAAAAGTGTGAGCTACCATCATTAGCAGCTTCTTAGCGCACCTTTCCTGTATGTGCTGCATCGTCCCCCCCCACGCCCTTACGGATGCTGTTCCTTTGAAGATCTCACTGCCACCTGAAGTCACCGTGGTGTGTTTACAAAGCCCCACAGAACACAGTTACTGATAATACTAGATTGGAGCAGGCAGGGAATCCGGCCTCCAGCCAGCCTCCCACATCCCTTCCTCCCCGCAAGCACCTGCTTGCAGAATTCCTCCTCAGCCTCGATCTCTTCCTCATTCTCCTCCTCCTCCTCCTCCTCCTCCTCGTCATCGTCCTCAAAGCAACCCACGGCATCCACCGTGATGAAGTGGTCCTCCTGGCCAGCTGGCTCCTTCTCGGACATCTTCAGCTGCCCGGGAAGTGGGTGAGGGCTCAGGTCGGCTCTGGGTGGCCAGGGTGCCACACGCCGTCCACCCCACCCTCCTGGGAATCCCAGCGGCCCTGGACCTGCCGGGAGTTCGTTCGGGCTGGGATAAACCTCACGCCTCTGAGCCCATGTCCTCCGCGGGAGCGGGGGTTACCTCCTTGGCTTTGTCCTTGTGCCCCTGAGACTTCACGTGCTCCACGAACTTGCGGGGGGTCCGGAAGTAGCGGCTGCAGATGGTGCAGAAAGGCCGCAGGGCCTGCTTGGCGATCTGGGGGGAGGAGGGCGGACCGAGTGGGTGGCGGGCAGCGCTCCCAGGACCACAGCCCTCGCTTCCCTGCTGCCGGCCACCGCCTGTCACCAGCTGGCTCCACGCAGCCCCCGTGCCAGAGCACGGGCAAGCACGTCCCCCCCGTGCCGCTGGCTCCGCCATGGGGCGGCGGACGGCAACAGAGAGAGGAGCCCCGAGCCCCAGGCTCCACGGCGGGGCGAGCTGGTGCCCGGCCCACCGGGCAGATGGGGACACTGAAGCCCAGAGAAGAAACATGATGGAATCGCTGAGAAGCCGCACTGCTGGGGGATGGCCACGCAGAGACAGACGGACACCGACGTTCCCTTCCGGCCTGGACTCCCTCCCCCCCGGCCCCGGCACCGAGACGGCACAGCCGGGGCCTCGCACCTTGTGGTCCTGCGTCCGGCGGTGCTGGATCAGGTCCCCCACGTAGTAGACGCGGCAGGTGTGGCACCAGCGCCTCGGAGGCGGCTCCCTGGGTGACGACAATCAGAACAAGGCGGCATGACACCGCGTTCCCGGACAGACAGCCTCTCTCCCGGGTGTCCGGGAAACCAGAGCCATCCCAGCAGGGACTCCCTGGGAAGCTTAACCAAACGCTCGGAACGTCCTCTGGAGGAATGCTCCCGAGGGAGCGTGCACCAGGAGAGCTGGGGGAGAAGGGAGATCGGGAAGCATCTGGGAGGCCAGAGGGTCACCAGGACGGCGACACTTCGGAGGGTGCCAGGCCCTGAAAACCTTTCTTTACCCTCCAGTGTGATGCCCTGTGGCTCCCAGAGCGGCCCGCCCACGGGGACAGTCACACCCCTCCTGCCCGGATGGAGCCCGGAGGGACCTCCAGTTCATGAGTTCCTGCATCACAGCCCTTAGGGGGCCATTGTACGGACAGGAAAGC